GTCTATCCTTTTTAAGATACAGAAACACTTTATTTGCGTTGGGAATAAGATGATCGTGTTGTTTATGAGAGATTAACTTACTTTTTTTCTTGACCGGACCTGGATCATCATTTTACTGGGCAGTGGCTGTCTTCTTCATTACAGTCTTGACCAAGGCCTTTTAGTTAGGGCACTCGAATCACAATCTGTGGGTCGCGGGTTATAATTACACCATCGAACATGCTCGCCCTTTCAGCTGTGGGAGAATTATAATGTAATGGTCAATCCCACTATTCATTAGTAAAGAGTAGCCCAAGAATTGGTGGTGGGTGTTGTTGACTAGTCGCCTTCCCTCTAGTTTATCACTCATAAATTAGAAACGGCTAGCACAGATGGCCTTCGAGTAACTTCACGCGAAATTCAATAAAGAAACAATCTGTATTGAGCATAGGTCTCAGTGACTGAAGAGTCACTGATTGATATTATAGCTGAGAGTGTCAATGATGTAGTTGTTTTCCTGGACTACGGTGACTGGCGTTGTCATAGACATCCCATCACTATTCAGGGCTCAAAGCACTGAGATATTAGGATTACTCTCTGTGACAACTAGTCTTGGATACCGGGTACATTTTTTCATTCTATCTTGGAGCAATTTTCCTGCAGTCACTAAAATCAGGGAAGCTTATTTCTCATTATCGGGTAGAAATTATTCAATGTTTGTTTAGAACAAAGGTCAAGTTTCCTGGATATGATAGACGATGAAATAATCAAAATAACCAATGGCCAAGAATCACTGCCTTTTATAGCAAAAGTGAGGATTGAATCTTTGAATCAACTCAGCTCGTTAGAAGCTCAATGAGCAATGTAAAGGTAAATGCCACAGCCAACCAAGCAATGACCCAACCATTTATTGTGAGATAAGACAACCATCGTGACGTAGAATAAGTGTTTCTGTTTATCATTCCACTGTTGTTATATCAAACTCTTGACCATATTCACATCCAACAATGGTTTTTACCGGTACAACCATCCCACACATGGAAAGAACTACTAACTGGTTCGCCTTTGCCCCCACCCCCACACCGAGTGGCTCAGCGGTAAGTCTTCGGACTCGTATCGCAAAAAAACAGGTTTTGATACCCATGGTGGGCAGAGCACAGATAGCCCATTGTATAGCTTTGTGCTTAACAAATAAACAAAAGCAAAATCCAACCAGTTAGTTCACAAGAGTGTGGCCGGTGCATCTAATTTTGAAGACTTTCATAACTTGTTTGTTTGTAACACTAATTTGTATTCTGAAACGAGGTTATTAATTAAAATCATTCCCGATTTCATAAATAAATCCGTAATCACATTTATGTAGCAACAAAGAAACTGTATTTTAATATCACATAGTTTGTGTACATCAACTACCTTGTTAAATAATAGTATCTATTCCTGTAAACTCCCAGTGGAGCATAGGGCCGTAACAACACCTCACCAACGGAAAGTTTTTGTTGCAGTTTCTTGTAGCAGGTTGGTTTTTACGGGGTGGAGTTGCTAGCCCCGCGCCCAACCCTCCTCCTTTCTCATCCTGGACTTGGGACCAGGCAAAGGCGGAGGTTGGCATGTTTGGAGCGACTGGGATTCGAACCCGCGACCCTCAGATTACGAGTCGAGCGCCCTAACCACCTGGCCATGTTAAATAATATCAAGTTAAAATTTGCAATGTTCGGAAAATTGTTTAATCAATCTCATTTCTTAATCAAATTTATATGGAAACTGGAGAGAAGATTTCCTTTCATTCATTCTGTTTGTTTGTAGTTAAGCACAAAGCTACACAATGGGCTATCTGTGCTCTGCCCACCAAGGTTTCTAGCAGTGTAAATCCGTAGACAATACCGCTGAATGAACCAAAAATCGTGATTTTCACTTTATGATGTTTCAGAAGCTATGAATATTTTAAATGCTATAACTGCAAGATATTCCTTTGGAAACAGCGGATCCATCATGTTTCTAGCTTGGCAGATCGTCTATCTTTTATGAAAACCACACGGTTATGATTATTTGAGTTTAGGACATATTCTTTGCCATTATTAAGAATGCACCACGAGCCACTTCTCAGTGTGGTCTAAGCTAATTACTGCTGCACCACGAGCCACCTCTCAGTGTGGTCTAAGCTAATTACTGCTGCACCACGAGCCACCTCTTAGTGTGGTCTAAGCTAATTACTGCTGCACCACGAGCCACCTCTCAGTGTGGTCTAAACTAATTACTGCTGCACCACGAGCCACCTCTCAGTGTGGTCTAAGCTAATTACTGCAGCCTTTACCAAACACACGTACCTCGATAACCAAATGAAATTCTTGAAAAACTGGGATCTTGGGCACATAACTAAATATATGCATACCAATCACACATGATGTAGGATAAATATGTACTGGCATACATGCATAACCATCTCAATATTACATATCAACCTAAATATTTTTTTCAGAGACTGACACCACTGTTTAGAGGCAACCTCAATGCTATGACAATCATAACGATTGATGGTCGATCTTCCCACAAGCTTGAGTGACTTCCAGGCCTTATCTATTGAACCAAAACAACGCCAGCTCGTGTGTTTCACAAATAAATGTCATTACAGTCAGAAACCAATGGAAATTATCATTATTGAATGTAATTACAGTCAGGAACCAATAGAAATGGTTTATTATTGAATGTAATTAGTCAGGAACCAATAGAAATGGTCATTATTGTTATATTCATCATCTTGATCACACAAGGTTTAATGTAGAAGAAATACCATGGTCAACAGAAAAATTACTTCACTGTCTCTATGATGCTGCCATCTAGGGGTCAGAAAATTATCCAAGAGGAGCACAAAAATAGCTTGAACAACCATCTAGCAAAATGATGCATATTCCACCAAGGTTCTTATATTTCATGTCAACTTCTCATTCCGTATCAGAACATAATTCCATTACTGTACTTTAGAAACACTAGTATAGACTAACCAGATTCACAGGTACGATCATGTATTAAGATTAAACACAGTGTCACATCCACCAACTTGCAATGATCGACAATGCTCAAAATTTTCTACTGACAAAGGTTTGCCAACATGCATTACACATTTTCACCTGAGCACTTGACAGACAAGGATTAGAAAGTCCTTTCAACTGAATGATATGTCAATTCCCAGTAATCATCAAAGTTGAAACCTACTGTCAGTGTCTTAGGAGATTATATGATGACTCTGTCTATCTCAACTGTGTTTATCTAGTGAATTTTGCATAAACTGCTTTATATAAATGCTATTTTAACTCACTAAGCAGATTCAGCAATTTCTGCATTATGTTAAACCAATTTCTTGCAACTCAATATTGCTTGATAACTCCGAAAGTTAGGGGTTGCAAATCAATCAGTTGACTATCCTAACTGCTTGTCATGCACTTAATCCCAACCATAATGACAAGGAGGCTAAAGACAGTGTCTCAGCCAGTCACCAACACTGCTCCTAATCTAAAACTTCATGAGCGACAGATATGTATTGCAAGAGTTTCCTCCTCATGAACATTTTCTGACGGAATCAGTTCCAAAGACTCCCTAGTGTTTCAACATGACCAATGTGTTTACATGCACCACCGCATCACATAGCTCATCTTGTTTAGCATCCAGTCTAAGCCAGAACTGAATTACTTACATACCACAGTAACACATCGTGAATACCTTGTCACTAGAACCAATCATTCATGCCATTACTGTTTTGTTGTAATGTATTTGAAGTGCAGATACTCTGCCCAATTGCTAATACATACACTCCTGTGCATCAAATGTTGTAGAACACAGCCTCCTCATCATAGAGTCGGTAGACTATATATAGGGATGGCCAAGGTACTCAATATGGTACATTACAAATATGCACGCTACAAATCAACAGTGACAGAAAGTTTTCTTTTAAAAGATGATTGCCACTCATTTTCGTTTGTTTCTCTACCCAACAATCTCCAAAAGGGGAAGAAACCATCGCTAAGATACCAAATCAGAAAGTGACCAACCCACCAAATTGTTCATCTTCTTCTTATTGTTTCAGTAGAGATAACTCTACAACTACTTTATCACTAACGTCAGTTTGAACCTAAATCCACTCTTTAAGTGTTTCTGGGCAATGTTATCGCTTAGTCGTTCGTAATAACTAGTAGTGATGTTTTTTAAAAAAAATGTTACTTCTAGCGTACCCCTTAAAGTCAGCTTTGTTACATAAATTTGGTGTTTCTTCAAAAAGCTTAAGTACAGGGTGAAACAGGAATAACCAGCCAATGATGACTATGACATGAATAATACTCAATGCTTTGTACACTATACAATCGGTGTCATTAGGAGAGCCAAACCCCAATATTATGTAAGAAGTAAAAAAAAATCAATGCACATAATATTACGTTTTATTACACACATTCAGAGAATATACTAACTTTCAGTCAGGGGAAGAAACGTCACAAAACAAGTGATAAAAAACATTTTGTAAATGTAAAATTATGTAGGGATGGCAGTGCTAAAAAGAATATAGGGATGATACACACAGCAATACGTAGATCATCCCTACATGACTTTCAATATTAAAATTTACTGGGGCTCGGCATAGCCATGTGGTTAGGGCGCTCGACCCGCAATCTGAGGGTTGCGGGTTCGAATCCCGTCACACCAAACATGCTAGCCCTTTCTAGCCGCGTGTGTGTGTGTGTGTGGGGGGGGGGGGTTATAACGTGACGTTCAATCCCACTATTCGTTGGTAAAAGAGTAGCCCAAGAGTTGGCGGTGGGTGATGATGACTAGCTGCCTTCCCTCTAGTATTACAGTGCTAAATAAGGGACATCTAGCGCAGATAGCCCTCGTGTAGCTTTGCGCGAAATTAAAAAAACAAATTTCTGTTATGCTGTACGATTCACAAATACAGTTGTCTTGTTTTCCTCAATTATAGAATATATATATCATTAACTGGCATATCTGAGTCATAAAAATACAATTAATATATTATCTGTAGCTTATAAACATACATTTTCAATCTTATAGAATACAATATAAATTACAATTATGTGCAATTATTTTAATCACAAAAAATACAGAGGTGGCGCTCCAGCCCCATCAAACCATCAGTTTCAAACTACAGTACACAAGTGGATTCTTAATTTGTGTTTGAAAATGTTATTTTTGTACATTTTACTTTTTTAAATTAAACGATTGTTTATTGTAAGCAGAACAATGTCTTTATTTAAACGATTCAACTTTAATTGAAATTTTTATCTTATTGCTTTTAAATAGTAAGTAAACTAGTAATTTAATGTATTTTAGTTATAACAATGTTTATACTGTGTTTTAGTTATTGCTTGTAATTAAGCACAAAGCTACACAGTGGGTTGTCTGTGCTCCGCAGACATACCGCTGTGTCACTGGGGTGGGAGCTGTGTTTTAGAATATGCTGATGTGCGTAAAATCATTTTATGTAGATTTTTTGTGGAATATTTTAATTAAAGCTTAAATCTTGGAAAGATTGACATTTACAGTGAAGTATCGGAAAGGAATGTTTTATCAATTTCCTTTAAGAAAGATTGTAGTCTCTGTTCTTACCTATAAACAAAGATAAACTCGATATATATTGTAGAAGGAAGCGTGAAGCCGAAAAAAAGAAATGAAATACTACTATTTATTTGTTTGTCTTTTCTTTTCTTTCATCTGTATATTTTTCCCAAATCAAAGCTATACATTTTTAAAACATTGTCCATCCACGCTTCGCTCGCGTGGTCTCCTTAAAAGTTTTGAGGCCTAGGCCTAATGGGAAATACGGCCCTGATAAAATTGCCTATCTCTTCTCAATGTTCATAATCCTTTCTTCCTTCCTACTTCAGGATGGCCAAGTAAAAGAATCCACAACCAACCACTACAGACAGTCGGAAATAGAGGAAATGGGACCCATGTTACCGCAGCACGTAGCGAAATCTTCGGGATATATGTCAAGAAAGGGAGATGGGATACAACATCTTTCACCTCGGTAAATATATATATAGAGCAAGCAATCTTTCATTGGTCAACTTGGTAGGTTACTGTTAACCATCATCATTTAATATAATATATCAACCAATTAAGGTGTTCATCCCAATTTTGATTGTCGACAATTATGGTTCTCTACTCCTCGTTGTCTGCCACAACCTTTCCAACTCAAGCTTTTCATTTCCAATCCATTTTCTAATGTCATCGAGCAGAATTAGTCTTTTTTTTTGCCTCTCGTTCTTCTTGCAACTTTACCCTTGAGTATCTCTGCTCACTTTTCCTCGGCCCTGATTATATGCCCAAAGTATGGCATCTTCCGTTTTCTATAGAAGCCCAGTGGTTGTCTTTTTGTTTCTGAACGTTCCAATACTTCTATGTAGTCGACCTTCATCATTCATCTATAATGCCATATTTAAATCCTTCTAAGTGTCGTTTGGTTTCAACAGACACCATAATGTAGAACATATTACACTGTACATACTCCAGTCTAGCCGATCAGTAACCCTTCATCGTTCAGCTCAGTAAGAAAAAAAGGGATAACCAATACTGTACACATTCTTTTATTGTTCTTCTCGGTAAGTGTATTAAATCTAATCAACAATGTACACATTATTAATATTTTTTTTTGTCTAATTTGGTAGTTCCCAACTTTTTTTTTATTGGGAGCTGATACAACCACACGTAAAATTTTTGCACACCATTACTTACACAAAGTTACATAAAGCACAATACAATCAAAAACCTTGATTTCATTTAAATTAACCTATTTTTCGAAATTAATATATATATATATTGCTCATTTTGATTGGCTAATAAAATGTTAACTACAGGCTGCTGGTTGGAAGCCATTACCCTATTTTACAACATACCTAAAGTTTCAATGTTCAGTTCAATTGGTTTATATGATCTAGTCTAGCGGTTCTCAATCAGTGGTTCGTAGCAAGGTTCCATAATTATGGAAAGGAAACAGCAGCATAGTGTACAGATCCCACTGTAGTGTAGCAAGGTTCCATAATTATGGAAAGGAAACAGCAGCATAGTGTACAGATCCCACTGTAGTGTAGCAAGGTTCCATAATTATGGAAAGGAAACAGCAGCATAGTGTACGGATCCCACTGTAGTGTGGCAAGGTTCCATAATTATGGAAAGAAAACAGCAGCATAGTGTACAGATCCCACTGTAGTGTAGCAAGGTTCCATAATTATGGAAAGAAAACAGCAGCATAGTGTACAGATCCCACTGTAGTCCGTCGCAATAATAATAATAATTCAGGTGGTCCACAAACAAAAGAGTTTGAAAAAGACTGATCTAGTATATAATTCATATTTCAGAAATGTTATTTAGAAAATAAACACAGACAGCGAAGGAAAGCAAGCTAATGCAAGTAACCAAATAAAGCAAATCTTTTATTGACAAATACCTTTATTACCAATTGGCCAGTTTTATCTCTCAGCTTCAACTTATTGACAAATACCTTTATTACCAAATGGCCAGTTTTACTTCTCAGCTTCAACTTATTCACAGATACCTTTATTACCAATTGGCCAGTTTTACTTCTCAGCTTCAACTGACTGTTGGATGGAGAGTCTTTCCAAAATACGCCGAAACAGGACAAGGACAGCAAGAATTATGTTAAACTGAACTTTCAAGTCAGACAAAGGGTTCTAGTGCAGTATCCCTTAATCCATAGATTACCTACACCAAGGAATATTTCAAATGGCATATTCAAAAGAGAGAACCAATAACGAATACAAATAAATATGTACATTATAGTCAATAATGTATACCATACAATATTCATAGTTTCATTGTTCATCTCAGTAACCTTACAAGCTCCTGTCTACAATGTTTTATTGTTCATTTTAACAGATAATATTGGATACTTTATAAAGTATGCAGTCTTTTATTGTTCAGCGCAGTACGATTATACAGACTAATTTACAATGTGAAGTGTAACGTTTTTTTTTCTCTTCGGAAAATTTATATATGTCAATCTACGATGTGCATGACATTTGACTGTTCGGGTCAATTAGTTTGTATTGCCCAGTCAACAGTATAAGTAGCCTTTCCTTATTCGGATTAGTAGCTGCATGTTCAATCTACGTTGCATATAACATTACTTTCTAGAACTCAGTACTTTTTATACAGTTTAGACTACAGGTATAAGTTTTTTTATAGTTCATCTCAGCAAGCTTACAGTCTAAGCTACGAAGTACACAGTGTTTTATAATGCAGCACAGTAAGTGTACATCGTGAAAGAATGTTTCAATGCTCAGGTCAATAGTTTTTCTAAACGGGGATTGTTAAGAACTTCTTAGATAGTCACATGTTTTGATATGATATTTCATTGTCCACTTTGGGTAGTTCAAAAGGTGCCATCCTCCTTATTGGAATTTGTTTGAAAACGATAGTTCCATCTGCCACAAAATTATGAAAACCTACTCAACCAATCTAAATATCGGTCCCCCAAAAAGATCTTGTTCTTTCTTTCTTAATCAATATTTTTATCAGTACAAAAGGGAAAAACGCCTTTCGAATTACGAGTAAAGAAACAGATTCCTTTTAAAATTATAAGGACCAGTTATTCCATTCAAATTACTGTTTTGTTGTATTAATTAGTGACGTTCTATTAGGATACTACATATCTTTAACTCGGGAGGAAAATAACGACACGAGTGCCAAGTAAAATTCTGTATTTAATACGTTTGGATAGCAAACTGGAGATCATTGTTGGGAGTAACGTTCGACTTAACAAATGATTGGTCGAGGATAATAACAACATGATCCTTTAATTAAGACGTGTGGATATCGACTTAGAGATCATTGTTGGGAGTAACGTTCGACTTTACAAATGATTGGTCGAGGATAATAACGACATGATTCTTTAATTAAGACGTGTGGATATCGACTTAGAGATCATTGTTGGGAGTAACGTTCGACTTTACAAATGATTGGTCGAGGATAATAACGACATGATCCTTTAATTAAGACGTGTGGATATCGAATTAGAAATCATTGTTGGGAGTAACGTTCGACTTAACAAATGATTGGTCGAGGATAATAACAACATGATCCTTTAATTAAGACGTGTGGATATCGACTCAGAGATCATTGTTGGGAGTAACGTTCGACTTTACAAATGATTGGTCGAGGATAATAACGACATGATCCTTTAAATAAGACGTGTGGATATCGACTTAGAGATCATTGTTGGGAGTAACGTTCGACTTTACAAATGAT